CGCTCCATGTCCTGAAAGACCCCCCTTGTTAGTGGCCTGAAGCGTCGTTTAGAAGATAAAAAAATCCGGGGACTGAGGTCAATTCGAAAATGGGATCGATCGCTTCTTTTCGAAGCAAACGCCGGAATCCTAAAGTAAGAGAGTTGAGAAGCTGCCCGGAAAAGTGTACGTCTCCTATATGGTAATGGTGATAATCTTGCTGATTGAATATTTCATTCAACAAAAGAAGGTGCAATCAAAAATCTTGGACAAAGTGTCACAGGATTTTGTGGACAAATCGATATTATTGGAACACTTTTGTTTGGTTATTTATCCGTTTGGTTTTTGTTAAGTTGCTCTCATAAGTATGCACAAGGCAAAGTTATAAGAACACCGAGAACAGCAATAATGGGCCAACTCAGAGGGTGATAATTACTCGTTGAGTGTCAGGTTTCTTCAGTAATACAATAGAAATCAGTCATCGTTTCCATTTCTTTCTATAATTGCTAGTAATGAAAGGGTTTGGAGCTGAGAATGTTTAACCAAAACATTGTTGACTCATCGTGGATGATGGCGCAATGACGTTCTTTCACATCGCTAAGAATTGTTCGTCTCAAACCCCTCCCTTTCTGTTTGTCGTCACTGGTAAAAAAGGCGTTGTTTGAGAGGTGTTCAAAGGCAAATGCATTTCGAACCTACTGTTGACTTCCGACAAGAGGTTGCTACATCCCTGGAAAACGTGGTTAGAGACTTGGTACTGTCCTGCAAAAGTGACTGAAATTTTTCGTACTACTAAGTCAGTTCGAATGCGAGCCATAGATCTCATGTAAGAAAATGTTCAAATTTTTCGAAATGGTATGGGTGAGCAATAATTAAGTAGGTGATTGACTTTGCGAAGGTAAAAATAATCTTCAGCCTGATTTCCAGGTTCAAGCATAGAACCATTAATATTGGCTGTGATAAAAAGATAGAGGGTAATTGAAAATTGATTTAATTTGGGGGTGCGCCGCGCATTCGACTGTTATTCAGAACCACAGCAGGATTCATATGTGTTCACGCATTTAGAGATCGACTATTGTAGGTTACTGCCCAAGCGAGTGTTTTCATGCTCTTACCATTAGATGAACAAAGTAGCTCGGTGGATCGGTGGTAACCCATGAAGTTTCATTGCCTGGACCCCGAATTTATTTTTTATAAGCTGTATCGCATTTGAATTCCACTATGGTTATAAGTGGAAATATAATTTGTGATGTATTCTCCTTAGAAGTCGCTTGCAAGCTGACGACACTTGTGATGTTTTGACGTTCCTCATTGTTAACTTCGTTGTTGGACCGCAGTTCGCCAGCGAAAGTTATTGCAGGGATACTGGGTTACGAGCAAAACACTTCGCCCCAGACGGGAATCGAATCCGCTGCTGCCTCTTTTGTTTTGAAGACTATTACATGCCCAGTGGGGGTGATCTGGGGACGAAAAATTTTCCCGTCAAAATTCCCTGAGGGATTGTAGGGGCTTGTGATCACAAAGTGACATTCATGTTTGGCCCCAAACATATTTACACCGAATTCGAATGCAAACTAAGTGTGAGGGTATTTGGCGTTGTGGTCACGGATATGTCGCTCGTTTTTGACGTTGACGCCAGTGTGGTACAATTTAGTGCCAGTTGGCAGCAAATGGCGTCAGAGCCAGAATCGAATTCCACCGAATAACCCTTCAGGTAAAATTTCGGCAGAACTTTTTGTGGTTCCTTTTTATGGATGTACTGTCGCCAGATATGGGGTTGTGACAGTGCCTAAGTGCCTCGTTTGGTTTAGTTTATCTAGCATCTGTGTATGGCTGTGCAGCATAAAATCTTTTTGGTCATTTATTCATCCTTTTACAGAAATCAAAGAGGGATTGGAATGATAATCCGGATGCATTTAGTGGCACAAGGAATGAAATTTTCGAATTTGTTATCGTCTTCATTTCGCAGATATTGTCCTACCCATTGATTAAAAGTGATAAGCCGGCTACAACTTCCGTATGCACGAAGCACACGACTTTTTGCTAAAGTTGGTTTACATTGAATCTAGTAATAGATCATCTCCTACCTCATTAACTGATAGGTCTACGTCTGCTTTGAAATGCACTAAATACAGCAGTGGATTGTTAGTGAATCACGCAAACATTGGATAGTTTATCGCGGATGTTCCTTAGTTGTTTATTGCGTTATTATTAATTATTATTTTGTACTTATTAAAGACTATTATATTTCACAAATTATTATGTTTCTTATTTGTCAGGTTAATTCTTTAGCCCAGCTGAATCTCTCTTATTCGCTTTCGAAAAATGCTCTCTACTATACGGACTTGCCGTTTTTCGGGATCGTTGGATTCTTTTACCTGGACGAGCGCATTGTGATCAGTGGTTTGTGTGCACCGTTGCTAGTGTTCCGGGAGTACACGTCACATCATTTTTATTAGCTTGCTCTTTAGTTTTAACATTTTTTTGCATTATCTAGCCATTTGTCTGCACAGTTCTTCAAGATGGACTGGTTTATCCCGAGTCGCTGCTTCGTAACGGACTCCGGGAGGGAGGGTTCTCCAAAAGCTCCTGCTTCTCTACTGCCGTGCGCAGTTCTTGTCGCATCAAGATAGGATCGCTCTAAGATGGCAGTGTTGTGGACTAATTCCCTGGCCGGTGGCTTGCTGCACCAGGCCTCTGGATAGTTGCCGCTTCAAATTTGACAACGAATCGTTTTCTGGCGTAGTCGTAGAACACGACGTCACATCCATTCAGTGAAAAAACGCTTGGAGCTTGCGCCGCTAAGGCCGAACTTCCTCATAGGCTGACCGCGCATCGCTAAAGGTTATTACCTATTTCTTTAATCAAATTGTTCCGCTGCAGCATACACAAATTGATGTTCTTCAGCTGTCACAGCCACATTCTATCAAAAAGTTAAATCCGATCGCCATCCAGCAAAGACTGCACGCGTGGACTTGAATGATAAGAGCCTGTTTTTCCTACTTTTGTTTTAACATCCAACTGATCTTTTTTGTAACGTCATGATGGGAGAAACATAGTTAACCTATACACGTACCGCGTGAACCAAATTGGTAGGTGTGCTTATTCAGCGCTAGGTTGACCCTATGTAAAAGTATGTAGAAGTTCGGGAGTAATTCGACAAGAGAAGTATTTGGGGTTGGCATCAAAAACAAACGTGATGTTTATGGTCGTGAATGATCATTTTGTTCAGCTGATACGAACCCCCTCGTCGTGGATTCCTCAACCACGCTCGGTCCTAGTCAAAACATGCGTTGCAAGAGCATTCGCATCTCCTCACAGGCGGTCCGTACGCAGAGAAAAGTTGTTGCTGTAGGGGGAGGGAGTTGTATGTATTCCTGGATGCCTCGCTCGACTCCGTCCCACAATAGTTTATGCTTATGTATTTAGCGCTGAGGGGCGGAAGTGGTGTACCACGATCCCAGGATTCGATCCCCGGACGTTTACCACGCGCGCGGTCCGGGGATCGAAATCCTGGGTCGTGAGTCGCCCGGGCCAACCAAGCCTTCCATCCCTCCGGGGTCGGTTAATTGGTACCAGACTTGTCTGGGAGGATAAAAACACTGACTTGTACATCGGCTGGCCCCCGCAAGTCATTGTATAGGCCACATCGCATTCAAACGCCACTACGAATGTACAAGTAGAATGCGTGCCGCATCCCAAAAAGGGATTGATCAACGGCAAATGCTTTATCCTTTTTATTTTTTATTTTGCGCGGTCTCGATTCTCCCAAGTAAATCACAAACACCACTTCACCTTGTTAGTGCAGATATAACCCGATCGACAGCAACATGTTCGCTACGCGGTCGCACACTCAATGTCTATTTGCTGCGTTTTCAAGTCATGTGCTGCAGGAATGGCGCAGCGTATTTATTCCAAGTGTTTTAATCAATTGATCACCACGTGGCTCGCTTACGCGTCACACTTTCAGAAGCGTGAGACTCGTTTTGCTTGAATTATTTGCTATTTTTCAAAGTTCTAAAGCAGTCTGTGTGCTTTAATGAACTCTGGAAAACAATGGATACGTGAGCACAAGTAGAGTTGTTGAGGGGTTGAAGACAGTTGTTGAAAAATATGAAAAAAGATGCCATTATAGCCACAACGGTGGTCGGTAATGGGTTAAATAGAGTGGTTTTGTTTGGAATGTGCTGTCCCAGCCACACTCACTCGCATACGGTAGTGGTTATGATGTGTTGGCGTCACTTACCCTTTTATCATTCTAGTATCTGGTGTACGCATACACTTTCGTGCTCATAGCTTTCTACGTAAACAGTTAGATTCTACGCATTCGACTATGTTGGCGGTTTGCTGATCCAAGGAGATCATATGGACAACAAAGCACTGCACTTCAATCCCCGTTTCGACGCCGGTGGCGGTTGGTGGGTGAAAAACCTTTTTCTTTCATGGATCGTGGTAAGGTTTATGATATATTTGTCGATGACAATTTGTTCGTTCCCCGGTTTTCTGGCCTATAAACCGGCAAACGCGCAAAACTTGTTATTAAACACATTATCAATGAACCCAATGGGGTGCGGAAGACGATTCACAAATCCGTTCGAACCAGGAAAACCATTTCAAATAAGAATACTTGTGCTAGAGAATTATTTCAAGGTAATTTTCGTTATTAGGAGGATGACTTCAGATTTTAAACCTGGTTTCTAGATCGCTGTGAATGGAAAACATATTTGTGATTTTCCTCATCGAGTTCCTGTCAGTGATGTGAAAACGATATATGTGGGTGGAAATATTCGTGTGGACTTTATTGAGTTCCAACCTCCGGTGAGTTTTTCAAAACTGTGAACTTAAGATTGATTTCATGCTGCTGTAAGTCTATGGCTTGGTTTTTTTTTTAATTAACATTCCCAACAGGGTTTTTACCTTCGACACTAATG